AGCTTTTCACGCCCACAGCCAAGTTGCCGGCCTCTACTTGCCAGACGGAGACGAAGAAGAGGACGCTGACGAAGAACATCGCCAAGAAGTCCGGGCGAGACTACATCATGGCTGCTGGTGACAACTGCGCAGAAGGATTGCTTGGCAACATTAAAACAACGCTCAGGACCGGAGTCTTTCGAGTAGCAGCGTACACAAACCGACCAAGTGGCAGCTTCATTTCTCGGTTTGAACAGTTTCGTCTTTTCTTCGGTTGTTGCTTCCAGGAGATCTGGTGGCATGCGCGCGCAGAGAGACAAGCTTTCTTCACTTCGTTCTCTCAGTGCAGCCGCTCTGCTTCGACAGCCGGGCTTGCGAAGAGTACTTCAGGCACCGTTGGCCCAGAAATCTGTCAGTCTTCTTCGGCTTGGGGTCTAAGATTCCAGACGTCAGGTTTGGCTTTCAGGGATTTGAGATCCTTACTCTTTTTGGGTTGCCGCGTTTCGGTCTGGGGTTTAGCCTGGTGTAGAGCCTCCCCGACTACTCATCATCTGCGGCAGGCGCACGCAAATTATCGACGCGCGCTGGAATCCGGAGTTTTGAAGCTTTCACCCACGCAGGCTTATGCTGTTAACAGCATTTCCTGGCTCGGACTGGCAGAAGATCAGGCCGAGAAGTAGCAGTAGGCAGCTTCTGCGCGCAGCCAGCTTTCCGGCACAATCTCCCCCGAAACCTCAGCCCTTCCTTAGGGAAACCTACTGCAGCACAGAAACGCACAAGCCATTCGCAGCTTCAACTCGGGAGTTCGGGCAGAAGTTTGGCACCGACAAGCTCGGGAGGACCCCTCGCAGGTACCGCGCCTGCCACGAAAAAGAGACGCGGCTGTGGATGCAGCCAAAGAGGCGCGGGCAAACCTACGCCTCTGCCCGTACTACTACTACTACTACTACTACTACTACTACTACTACTACTACTACTACTACTACTACTACTACTACTACTACTATTATAGTACTAGTACTACTACTACTACTACTACTACTACTACTACTACTACTACTACTACTACTACTACTACTACTACTACTACTCTTGCTACTACTACTACTACTACTACTACTACTACTACTACTACTACTACTACTACTACTACTACTACTACTACTACTACTACTACTACTACTTAGCAAACCCAGAATGCCCCGCACGCTTACGCCCGAAACTCTATGAATCCCTAAGCCCCTAAAGCCTTGAAACGCCGAAGCCACTAAGCCCTTATAACAAATGCCGAAGCCCCGAAATGCTCACAGCCCTGGGTGGGAGGTGACAGGTGGGAGGTGGTAGGTGGGAGGGCAGGAGGTGGGAGGTTGGAGGGTGGGAGGTGGGAACCCTATTGTTGAGTTAATTCGAGTTAACTCCGAGTTAACTCTGAGTTAACTCCGAGTTAACTCTGAGTTAACTCTGAGTTAACTCCCAATTACATCAGTTTAGAATCTTGAGTTAACTCGAGTTAATTCGAGTTAACTCCGAGTTAACTCTGAGTTAATTTGAGTTAACTGGGAGTTAATTCGAGTTAACTCCGAGTTAACTACAGTAACCCGCCCAATATTTTTGAAACCCCACCTCCACCGCCATGCCACCAAACCGGCTCCAGCTCGACCGCCAGCAGCACCACCCACCACCACCACCCACACCCACACACAACCACCAGCCACCAACACCCACCACCCCACCACCCGCCGTCCCCCACCAACCACCACCACCCAACACCGCCCGCCACCAGCCACCAACACCCACCACCACCCACCACCACCCACCACCACCCACCACCCACCACCCACAATCCCCACCGCCACCCCACCAACCACCACCACCCACCGGCGGCCACCACCCCCCACCACCACCCACCACCGCCACCACCAGGAGTACTAGTACCATGTTATACTACTACTACTACGACTCCTACTACGACTCCTACTACGACTACTACGACTCCTACTACTACTACTACTACTACTACTACTACTACTACTACTTACTACTACTACTACTACTACTACTACTACTACTACTACTACTACTACTACTACTACTACTACTACTACTACTACTACTACTACTACTACTACTATATTACTACTACTACTACTACTACTACTACTACTACTACTACTACTACTACTACTACTACTACTACTACTACTACTACTACTACTACTACTACTACTTTACCAGTATATTACTATACCTCTATACTATCATACTGATATACCACTATACTACTATATTCTACTACACTACTATACTACATTTTTTGCTCCTATGCTACTATAACACTTTACTCCCATACCACTAGACTATTATACTACGTACTATATTACTATACTACTATCCTACTATACCATGCACTATACTACTATATTACTATACTACTCTACTACTGTACGAATATAGTATAGTTTCCAAACCTGATCCCTTCATCCCCCAGCCCCTAAAACCCTGCAAACCCTAAACCCTTCAGTCCTGTACTAGCAAACCCAAGAGGCCCCGCACGCTTAAACCCGAAACCCTTTGAACTCCTAAGCCCCTAAACCCTTGAAACTCCTAGACCACGATGCCCTTAAAACCCCGAATCTCCCAAACGCTTAAAACCCCTAAACCCTAAACCCCCTCGAAACGAAAACTCCTAAAGCCTAAACACTCAAAACCCTCAAAGGCCTTGAACTCTTAAACCCGTGCTGTTCGAGAACCTAACGCCAAAAACCCTTAAAGCCCGTGCATCCTTAAGGCCTGCAACTTTAAAAGTTATTCCAACCTCTTAAAACCCTTAAGATTTTAAAGGCCCTAGAAACCCTTTTGTTTGCAGGCTGCATCAAGAGCATCGTGGTGTGCATCAAGAACATCGATGTGTACCAGTGCCCATGGATCCAGAGGGAGGGAGGGATGATTCAGGGGCTTTTCTGCAAAAAGGTAGGGCGGGAGGGAAACGCGCAGCGAGGGGCGGATAGAAGCATCAGAGCCGATTTGCAGGATTTTGTCGCTCAAACTTTTAGTCACTTTTGCCACAGCCTGCAGCCATGGCGAACAAAAGCCATTGCAAGGAGGCCGGAGCACTCCCTGACACCGAGAAGAATGAGAAGAAAGAGAAACGGTATCCTATCCCGATGGTGATGGCCTATTTGGATTGGCTGAATGCCAACAAAGAGAGGCTGGAGAAGGAAGCGGAAGAGGCCGAGAAGAAGAAGAAGGAGGATGCCGGAAGTGACAGCAGTTATGAGACCGACAGCGATACCACTCTGGTCTTGGGACAATCGCCGAAAAGGCGGAGGATCTCGAGAAAATAGATCTAGCTAGGCTGCAAGGACAGCCAATTTTGATCGCCAGAGGATCCAGCTGCAAGTGCTCAAAATGTGAACTTGCATCCTAGGCTGCCATTCTTAGGAAAAATGCTGCCCTGAACTCTGCTCGATCGCAGCAGTCTTGGTTCAAACCGCCCGTGAACGTCGCCGGTCCTTTTCCCCTGAGACAGCAGTAGAAGATGCTGTCTTTCTTGTCGTTCATGGTCGTGAACACGTGCCTCGCGATGGGGGCAGTGGCCTGTGGTGTGGCGAGGCCCAAAGGGAAGGCCAAGGCGAAGGCCAACGTCAAGATCGAGAAACCCTCGCCGAAGCAGCGAAGAAGGATGAGTTCCAAGCAGTCGCTGGCGACTGCTGATCCTGGTGATGCTCCTGAAGGCACGGCAGGCACGGAAGGGGCCTTGGCAGTGAGCAAAGCCGACGTGTCCAACTTCTTGGGCCGGATGAAAGCTGCCGATGGTGGTCCCCAGAAGGACTTGCTGAACTTCTACCAGCTGTTGCCAAGGTACGACTCCCGCAAGCAGGAGATCGTGCAGAAGTGGAAGCTGGACCGCTCCTGTTCCTGGGCCCAGAACTACACGGAGCAGGAGTCGAAGAAGACGAAGTGCTCTCGCCAGTCCACCGTCGGCTGGCTGACTCGCTGGGAAGTCGCCGACAGCTTGAAGATGGATGTCGACAGCGAGCTTTTCAAAGAAATGCTTGCCGAGCTCGAGTCCAGCGAGGACCAGTGGGACCTGAAGAGTCCGCAAGAGGCCTTCCTGTCGAAGAAGGGCGAGAAAAAGTACTGGTTCGAAGGCAGGACAGGCGGCCAGCGGATCACCGACACTCTGGAGAGATCCGAAGTCATGGAGAAGAAGACCTCCAGAAACGTGAAGGAGAGCATGGATGGCGACAGCAAGTCCCTGAGCCTCAAGGACAAGGTGAAGGTGGCAATCTCCGACCTCCAGAACCTCAACCGCTGCTCGCTTAATCAGTTCCGGTTTTTCTTGGCCGTTTTCAATATTAAGCAAGTTTTTGTTTTCTTGTTTCTCCATGCACATGGACCCAGGAGCTGTTAGCAGCTCGGCCGAGAAAATGGCAGATTTGCTGCCTCTGCTAGAGGCAAAGGCGCCTGGCCACGAAGCCTTGGAGGGTTTGAAGAACGCCATGACTATGGCCAGGGATGCACTCGCCGAGTCCCGAGTGAAGACCGGGATGTGGGCATCCGTTGAGGGCACTGAAGAGATCCTCAAGGAGGCCGGTGACTTGGCCTCGACGATGAAGGAACACAAGGCAGGATCCCAACTGGGAGCCAAGAAGCTGCAAGGGATTCTCGAGAGCTTGACTGCCTAGATCGGCCACGGTGCTAGATCGACTTCAGGGCCCAAGAAGTGCCAGGGACTCTCGGCCCCCTAGATCGGCCACTGTGCTTGATCGACTGCGAGTTTTGACAGTTTTGGTGCGAAAAGAGCCAGCTGCACGCCGTGACCTTGTGCATTATGTTTTGCTTTTGGGTTTGTCGTGCACGCAGTTCCAACTTGATCAGGTACCTTAGCTCGCCCAGACTGGCTGCAGCCGTGCGGCTGTCGCAAAACAATGTGCTGCAAGCTTTAGATGCACCATGTCGATGAGCCTGCTTGCGAGTGATGCTAGGTTTGGAAGGCTTTGGAAGGCTCAAGCATTGCAATGTTTCATAACAAGCAGCGAGGCAAGCCGGGGGCTATCGCATCCCCTACCAAAAGGCTTCGCAACAGGGTGCACAACCTTTTCCTGTCTTCCAGCTTGAGTGCGATCGAGGCTACAGGTCTCGAGACCGATGCTGCAGCATGCGGCCTCAGCGGCTTCAAGACGGTTCCTGAAAAATCGGGCAAGAATGCTGCTCGAGATTTGTTACGACGATGTCTTAAGAAAAGCCAGTGGCCACCCATATACACTGCCGAAATTCGCATTTGGGACGAGAAGCACGAGGTCGCCCGATATGCAGATGTGGGCTTTATGCTCCCCCATGAGATTATGTACGTTTTGTTTCAAAAAAACCCGGGTTATCCTTTCCATGATTTGGCATGCTGTGCACAATCTGTGCAAGACCACTGCCTGGAGGCATCCCGCAAACTCGGGTTTGAGGTCATTCCTTTCTCGCTTTGGACTGATGCCACGCCTTTCAATTGGGATAGAAGCAAGTCCCTCGAAGTCATCCTGATGAGTTTGCCTCAGCTTCCTGCCCCGCATCACACTTGGAGGTTTCCCGTGACTGCTTTGCCTAAGAACAATATATCCAAGGGCGAGAGCTTCGAAGACATATGGGATATTATGGCCTGGTCCAGCCAGCAGCTTTTGTTGGGAACCATGCCTAGGCATGGCCACGACGGCCAACCTTTCGCAGAGGCATGGCGGAATAAGCACGCCGGCCGTGAGATCGCACATAGATGCATCCTTGCAGAGCTCCGGGCCGATTGGAAATGCTTGGCTGAAGTTTTTGGCCTGCCGCACTGGGGAGCCAAGACTGGCATCTGCATGAGATGCAGTGCCGATTTGACGAATTACAAAGATTTCTCTGAAAATGCACCCTGGATGCTGGAAAGATATGGGCATTGGGATTTTTTGCAGAGGCAGCTGAACGAGGCAAGGCTCATCTCCACGATTTTCCGCTGCCCTTTCTTTTCAACGACTTGCTTCAAGATGGATTGGCTGCACATCATGGACTTGGGCTGTGCCCAAGATTGCTTAGGAAACCTATTCTGGTATGTGCTTCCCAGACTGGGAAACAACCAGAAAGTTCAGGTGGCCACACTTTTTCTGGAGATAAAGAAATTCTATCGGGAGAATTCCATTCAGGATTGCATCGGCAAGCTAACCCTGGGAATGATCAAGAAACCCGACAAGTCAAAACCGAAGATGAACTTGAGAGCAGCAGAGACGAGGGCCATGATTCCGCAGCTTGCCTCATGAGAGAAGCATTCCTTTGTAGAAGCATATGTAGTAGGAGTTTGGAACATGTTGTGACTATGAAGTGCGATATTGACTCAAGGTTTGCATGGAAAATCGCAGACAAGATGCTGGACCCGCAGGATGTTTTCGAGTCGTCCATACGCTGGGTGATCAAGTATCTCGTGGACTGCTACGATTGCTTGTCAGCCTTGAAGTGGGAGCGAAATTACTTCAGAGAATGTTGCTTTGCCTTCCTACGTCAGTATTCGGTCTTGGAAACAATGGCCGACGAAGGCAAATGGGTCATGAAGCCCAAGTTTCACATGCTTGCAGAGATTGCTTTGAAAGGCGACAAACCCTCTGACAACTGGGTGTACAGGGATGAAGAGGCAGGTGGAACCATGGCACGGGTGGCACATGCCAAAGGTGGCCCTGTCAACCAGTGGTCGATTTCTTTTCAGGCGCTGAACAAATTCAGTGCTGAGTTCTCGGTGCCACACTTCGACTGAGCCTGCCTGCACAGAAAAAATTCTCGTCTGGAACCTAGAGCCATGTATTTCGCACTCGGTCGCCGAGCAAGCTTCGCATCCGCGCTTCGGAGAGGGAGGGAGGAGCGATCAGACTCATGCATGTGGGAGGGAGGGAGGACAAATGCATGAGCTTTATATACATCCATATATATATATATATATATATGCATATAAGCGCTTGTTAAGCGCCTGTTAACCGCTTGCGGTGTTGCACATAAACGCTTGTGCTTTTAACAAACCCTTAACTTAAGCGCTTGTTGAGTTAACTAAAAACCCTTGCAAGAGCATAATCCCCTTCTAAGCGTCTTTTGGAGGGTCAGGGTATTAATTGGAGCCGATAGCGGGGGCATCCGTGCCCTCCAGGTGATGTCGTCCTGGAAGTAGCCATGTATCCTTTGATAAATCATAGCTTCCTGCCGTGCTTCTTGTAGCCAGCAGTAAACGCCATCCCATAGCCACGGCTGGTAGGGAATGCCCAGTTCTCGGGCTAGCTGCTTGGCGACGTCCTCCGCGTCATCCAGGTCCACCACAGCTAGCTCCAAGACCCCAAACCCTTGGCTGGAGAGATGCCGGTAGGCCCTGTCTAGCGTGCGCCTACGTTCCTGTTGGACCGTAGCCTGCGCATCTAGCTCTGCCTCCACCTCCCAGCCCTCGAAGAGCACTCCCGTCTCTTCGGGCTGCGGTTCACTAGCTGGGGTCTGCGGGACCCACGAGGGTGCCTCCCCAGACGGAGCCCCCGCGGTATCGTCCCCCCCTATCGTCCCCCCCTAGCGTGGGGACCTCAGTGGGACACGAAGAACTTAGCGGGGGCGGGGAATCCCAACCACAGTAGCGCAGTCGACGGCTGTAGCTGCTGCGCCATCTGGCGTGGTCGGCGCCAGGGCAGCGTCGCTGTCCGACATGGCAGCGCACCCAGAGCAGGGCTAATTAGCCCTGTTCCCCTTCCTAACCCCACTCGAAAATTGCCCCCCAGTAGCTTGAGCCAAAATGGCTACGGAGGCCACGGAGTAGCGCATGCTTCACCGGCCATGTGCAGCCACTCTAGCAAACAGACAGGACTCGTTCTGTTTAGCTTCAGAGGAAAACCCCTTCGACGTTTTCTAGCGAAACACCTTCGATGTTTCCAACAGGGATACTAGCGCTGGCATACACTGTCGTACCTCGTGCCTCGGCACGAGTGCATCTCGAGGTCTTCGTAGGAGACCCTGACCGACTCAGGATAGAAAGGTCGCCTTCGATCTCCTTGTGGCCACCCGTAGGTCAATGCATTGAGGTTGTCCTGGAGCCCCTGGATACGGTGGGCCAGAGTGCCCATGTCACCACGGCCCAGTGTATCATCTTTGTCCCACAGCATTGTCCATCCAGATCTGTTGACTGGGCAGTATCTTGTGAAATCACCTTGCCAGTCCCTGGAGTTCTCCTGAAGGCCCTCGTCCAAGAATCGCAGGATTTCATCCTCCATCATGGGGTCTTCCTTCCTGTGGCCAATGGCGGAACCCAAGAGGACCAAAGCTGCCGCCGGGAGGGTGGCATCTCCGAGAATGGCCATTCCATCTGTCTCTGGTTCCGGGAGGATGACATTCACCGGAAAACCGTGAGCCTTCAAGACTTCCCACTTGGAAAGGTACCTCGGCTGGGGCTCAATCAGGCAGGTGTTGAGTCCACGCTTCTGCAAAAGCGGCCACGGGGTCTTGAGGATCTCCCTGTAGTTGGCTCCGATCGGTGGTAGGGGCTTCGTCTGATCCACCAGGCGGAGTTGCAAGGCAGACTCAGGTCGAAGCTGCATGTGTCTGGGGAGGAGTTCTCTACTGAGTATCTTCGCCAGGTCCTTGTCGTGGAGGGTCACAGTCTGCAGTCTCATGACTCATAGCACACATCCTGTCCCAAATGGCCACGTGGCAGGCCAGATCTCCACGATCACCCAGTCTGGCCAAATGGAAAGGAGTTCCCACCGAGGGGCTGTCAGCAGAGTTCCAGAAAACCATATAGAAGCGGCGCTTGTGAGCTGGGACGAGTTGGCAGGGGTCCAGAAACCCTTCCCAGATGGCCGTGTATCCCGCCCATTTCATGATATCACATGTGGTCAACTTGTCCTTGTGTTGGGCGAAGGCCACCGGCATCTCCAAGATAACCGCTCGTCTCTGTGTGAACCTGCAAATCACAAACAGTTGCCAGAGGGCCGTTGTGTTGGCACCATCCTCCATGCCTTGCGACCGGTCTCCAGCCTGGTATGCCTTGCCAGGAGGGCTGACACAATAGAACTCGACATTCTTGGAGTGCATCGCCGGCAACCATCGTAGATCCATCAAGTCCCCCCAGAAAACATTGAATTCCGCCTCCTCATCCTTGTCCGTGAACAGGCGGGCTGAAGCATCATTCAGCAGAGTGGTCGCGACAGCCATACCTTCATGTTCGACCCTGATGGCGACTTCTGATGGGAGCAAACGTGCCGCTCTCGTCCATCCATTGAGTCCACCAGAAAACAATTCAGCAATGGTGACTATCTTGTCTGCTCGGGCGGGGAGAAGGACCATTCCCGACCTCTCCGTTGTACTCGGCATCCGGAGGAGCCTTTTTCCACTGGCATCACGAATAAATCTCACACCAATGGCCATGTAGACCTCACCTGGCCTCAAGCTGTGTCTGCAGACCGTAGACTCGAAGCCCACCAGCTCACCCGTAAGCTTGGGGTGTCTCATCAAGTTCGTGGCACATATGTTGTTATCCAGATCAAGATCCACCACCTGTACCACACCATGGTGTGTGGACTGCAGTGACTGAATCCGGAAAGCCGCGTTGAACTTGTAATTCAAGTCAATGTCTGCCAAGTCGCGAGAGATGACCCAGCCCCTCGCCGTCAGGGCTTCAAGTCTCTCCTTTTCAGAAACATGTTTCGCGAAGATGTCCATGGCCCGACTTTGGTAGCAGCACAGCTGCTTCCGGCCCCACTGACTGGGAAGTCTCGGGCCCGAGGACTTTTAGGGGTTTAGGGGTTTTGGGGGGGTTTAGGGGTTTAGGGTTTCGGGTTTAGACACAGTGTGCCGGTTCCCACACACGAAGCGTAGCGCTTGAAGCTGGGAAACCACTTGTGGGGATCCGATGAGATGTGGGTTAGACCTTACATGCGAGGCTCGAACAACACACCGGAAAGGCACCGGTGGGCAGGTTTTGAACCAATTTCCGCCAAATTTTCCATAGATTTTACAAAATTTTCAGCAGATTTTACAACAATTTCAGGAGGTTTTCCAAAACATCTCGATGCAGTTTGTATGCAGTTTGTATGCTGTTTGTATGCTGTTTCGATGCTGTTTCGAAACTACATACAAACTGCATAGCTTTTACAGCATTTCGCGATGCAGTTTGTATGCAGTTTCGAAACTGCATCGAAACAGCATCGAAACAGCATACAAACTGCATCGAGATTTTTTGGAAAACCTCCTGAATTTTTTGTAAAATCTGCTTAAAATCCATTGACAAACTCCCCAGCCCACCCCACCAGCCCCCCACCCCCCTCCCCACCCCCCTGCCCCCCACCCCACCCACCCCCCCAACAAGTAACCCAACTCCACCCACCCCCCCCACCCCATCCCCCATCCCACCCCCCACCACCCCACCCCCCACCCCCCACCCCCCACCCCCTGAGAAGTAACCTGGACGTGTATCCCCTCGCTCGTACAGGAACACAGGCACTCAGGTGTCTCTTTTGCTACAGGCGCTGAGCAACAGGCATGGATACATGCAAGTGATACGTGAAACAGACAGACACCTGGATGTGTAACATTCAGTGTTTCAACCAGGCACAAATTTAAAACACGTAGAGCTGCATGGCCGTGGAGTCGGCATTCAACTAGCCTGTTATTGCTCTTGGTCGAATTAGCGGAGTATTGAGCTACATCTGCGACTTGAAGAGAATCTATACATCTCTCACCTGAAGACAGCTTCAATGAAAAGAGCAGAACACGCACGAAACGCAAACGGATCTTCAACTGAAGACTTTTGCTCGAAAGTTGCCCACTTGTGTTCAGTTTCCTCTCCAGGCGGAAAGCTTACTGTCACATAAAAGATGTAGAGCTTAGCTCTACTGATGCCAGCATGACATCTTGCGACACGGCAAATATATGAGGGCATTAGAAGTATCTTATCATGAGATAAGTATCTTCTTTCTGACAAGGTCTCTAAGGAAGTACCTCTTCATGAGAAAAGCATCTTCCTATGAAATGGCGAATGATCAAACTGGATACCTTCTTATGAAAGAAGCATTCCGTGAAACACTCACTCCACATCTTCCAACGGACCTTGGTTCATCACCCTCTGGTTGTACTGCTCAACCATGCGACGAGTTCGAGGACTGTCGTCTGGATGAAGCAGCCGGTAGTGTGGGTAGTACCATCTGTCCAAACTCCAGTGATGAAGCTTTTGGCGAAATGGAAGCCGCGGTCTACCACCAAAGGATGCTGGGCCAGGACCAACGTCTTCGTCAGGAACGTCAACGTCTGCGTCCTCGCCCTCGTCTGAACCTAGTCAGTTTTTGCCTTTGGCTTTGCCTTTGGACTTGTCCTTGGTCTTGCCTTTGGACTTGCCCTTGTCGGCGTCCTTGCCTTTTCCTTTGGAGGACTTGCCTCCTTTGCCGCCTTCTTTGCCACCAGGAGGTTGTGCGGGTTCTTGAGGACGTTGAGAACCAGAAGCTTTAGCACCAGAAGCTGCCTCTTCCTGAGAAGAGCTTGCTTCCTGTGGTGCGGCTGCAGGACCAGTAGAACCAGAACCACGCGCCTTGTTCAGCTTCTGTCTCTCTTTTCTTCTGTCCGCGGCTTCCTTCATGGTGTCGGGATTACGGTTGAGCGCCCTCATCCTGCTTCCAGAGTACTGGTTCGCGTGAACCTCGATGAGGAGCGGAGTGTGGGCGTCATAGTCCCGATCGTTGAGAAGGTACGCGGCGCTGGTGGAATTTAACAGCCACTCGGAGACATGGATGTCGAACT